CCCGAGCCACCGGCTGAGCTCAGGTTCCCAGTGCTGACACGACGCTCAAAGGGCCGGCGCAGACCAAAATATCCTGGCAGCCCGTCCACACCACGAGTAATGACAACACCGCCCGCCCACAGGAATGAGTGGGTATCCAGTGGCGGCGGCTGCTCTCACCGGGTTTATACACCGTGCGAACGGCTTAGAATTTCGTGAGGTTTCTATTGCATTGCCATAATACGCACTGACATATTGGATATATTTAAAATATCTTATGCAATAGCAAAGGATTAAAATTTTACGAGCGCGTAGAAATTGAAAGTACGCCCTGCCCTTTAGCTTTCATTTCACTTCATTTCACTTCTAGGTGAAAGGAATTCAATATAAAGGTCAAGATAAGAGGATTAGCAAGCTGCGTCATTTATCATATTCCCGAATGACATCGTTAACCCAGTGAGAGGAGACAGAGATTTACGCCTCGCAATAAAACGCCAGGTCAGTTACACCGCCCACAGAAATCATTAAACCTTCTAGAAATTATCAAATGCCTCGAAGTTCTGAGAACACGTCATAATTCGTGCATTTGTCACTCTACGTTCGTGAGTCACGTTCCTTGTCTGCGCGCCGCCCGGCCGGGAGAATGTGTCGCGCGTGCCGGGGGCACCGTGCCGTGCCAGGTCGCTTCGTCAGTCGGGCGACGACCAGCAGACGTCGTCCTCGACTGGCGGCACTACCCAGCCAGCCAGCGGCGCTCCTGGCACGCGCCCCATCCACATCGACTTTGGCCCTTCTGTGTCGCCGATCCAGCCGAAACCAGTCTAGAGGTTGGGAGTCGCCTGAAGCTGACAGTCGCGAAACGTCGCGATGTCTGCTATGCGAATGGCGACGATGCATCAAATGCCTGTGACGGATCCACACTCAAAAATCTAGTGATTTAGATCCGTAGGTAAAGAATTTTCGCCCGCCTTCTGGGCTAAATGTGCTATCTCAGAAACCGATCCCCTCGCTCGTCTCCATCCAGGCCGGTGCCCTCCAGACACCCGCGGCGGGCGTCCGCACCTGTCTGCGCCGGCACCGCCCCGTGACCTGTCGCGAACGACGGTCTACCAGCGGCCCCGCCTCCACAGCCGCCGCCATCCAGCCGACCGACGAGCTCCCGAATTAGAGTCAGCTGCCGAGGCGCTGGTGGCGCCCACCTGGCAGTGCCGACGGCTCCTGGCAGACGCCGACGGCCGGCCAACACAGCCAGGGTACGGAGATGACCTGTGGCCCGGCGCCCGCGCCGCCGCTGGACGGTGCCATAGACGGCGGCGACGCGTCTCATGCAGGAATGTCCGAGCTTGGCATGACTCCTCGGTCATGGCGGTGCGAGTGAAGCAGCCGAGGCGTACGGCGAAGGGCGTGTGCGCCAGCGTGTACCGCACGACAGAAGGGCAGCAGCAAAGGATAGGGATTAGGGCGAGTGGAGTGGTGGCATATGTTAATATACTACAAACATAGAGCGAAACTGCAAGTATCCCCGCAAACAAAACTGCAGCCAAAAGTAGCGCTAAACGTATGAGTTGATCACGGTTTCTGAAACTTTGCATTTTGTGGCCATCAATCCACGTAAAAAAGAAGCAATCACAGCCGTGATTTAGCAGAAACAATATTTGTGTATAGGCTACTGGTTATACCTACCTTGAAAACCACAGGGGTAGCCTGTGGTGGGGAATAACTTCACTTCAGGTAGCTGTAGCTGTAAAACTGAGCATCAATGAAAATGTACAAACAGCAACGAAGAGTTTTGACAGCTCAACGCGGGATGACTGAACGAATCCCATTGCTCCGCTCGTCAACACGCCTTCAGCTCGGTCCCCCGTTAGTTCCGTGAACGGACCGCGGCTCTTTGGCCCGGGCGGCCGCCGAAACCCGACCTGACCGGTCAGCCGGCCGGCGCGGTCACCGGGCGCCCCACTGACCGGCCGCAGGCCGCTCGGAGAGCGTCCGACACCGCCGACGGTCGTCGTTTCCGTCGCCCGTCGCCGGCGTCGGCGCGATATGGGGCGTGCGTCCATTTTAGGCGGCCGCCGCCGTCGGTGGGTAACCTTAGCCGAGCGGCGGGCCGCGGCCGGCGGCACGGCCGCTCGCCAGAGCCCGAAATAGCGGCCGGCGGCGCGCGCAGCCGGGCGCCCAGCTGACAGGGTCCCGGCGCCGCCCCCTCCCCCACCCCCGGCAGACCCCCCTCGAGGGCCGCCCCGCCCACTTCTGCCGGCGGCGCCCCGCCCAGTTCTGCCGGCGCCGTCCCCCTCAAATCGGAAAATGGGTCCACTTTCGCTTATTATTTTCGGGAATTCACTCGGTGAAAGGATGATGATGCTATCAAAGTAAGACGGTAAAAAGGAACGACAAATATGGATTTTCCTTCAGGCGAGCTGGTCGCAAGGTGTCCAAAGAGCATGAATATGGCACCACAAACATAATTCCGGGTCTAATCTCCAGCACAGAGCACTGAGCAGATGTTCAGAAACAAAATAGCACAAAACAAAAACTGGCAGACCCGTGTACCTTTTTACACATATTTTCGGATCCATTAGGACTGACGGTAGTAGGCAAATAGCCATACAATCTTGATACGAGTGAATGCTGCGTGGGGTCGTACCCAGTACCCATAAATGCACTGTGCGAAACTGTTGACTGTAGTAAGAAAACCGCTCTATCCCTGCATGAGGTAGGAAACGATTCGCCCCAAAAGACGGCCAGTGCTTTCAGATTGCGTTTGAAGATTCAGTGAGCAGCGGTAAAAGCACTTTGGCAGTTCCAGTGCAGCAGCTATCTTTTAAAATTTACATTTCATCCATGCGCCCATTCCCAAAACACAGAGCTCTATGTCAACAGTTCATCATGCCGCCTCTGGTGATCTCAGCGGGTCAAACACTCTGCCGCCGGTGGCCGCTTCACGGGTCATTTGCCCGGGTCATTTGCCCCGGTCAGCGGCGCGTGCACGGTGCCACGTCCGGCCAGCCGGCAGCGGCGGTCACCGCGGAGCGGCGGCCACTCGGGGCCGCAGCTGGCGGCACCCGTTAGCCGGCTCCGTCGACATTTAAAATATTGCCGTCGGCCGGCCGGCGCCGCGGCCAAGATGTAACCGCAGGACCGGCCGGCGCGCCAGCTGGAGCCCGCAGTGCCGCCCGGCCACTGCACTGCTGAACAGTGAACATAGACCAGCAGAGATACAGGGAAAGCGCTGTGATGGAGGAACTGCTGTACAACAGTGTTGTACGATAGCGAACAATAAGTAGGAAGTTATCATGGATTATGGTTAGACTTCTTCAAAGACCCAAACAAAGCAGATCACCAAGAATTATTGATTCGTAGGTCCACTGCACGTCAGTAAATAGCCCCGGCATCAAAAACCAACGTCTAAAAATATTTGAAGGACATGAAACTCATGAAACAAACTGATAAAATTGGATAGTGACGACTCACAAATAAAATGTGGGAGAGTGGGAGAGTCCAAAAAAGTGAAAAGGTACCAGAGTGGTATTCCAACGAAATGTGAAAAGCATGGGCGCAAAATGACCTCGCAGTCGGCGCGCCCCTAACCCCCAACAAGCAAACAAACGAAATGTGAAAAGCCGTCAGATTCGAGATATATGAGCTGTATGATGAGTCGTATGGCCGAAATTGAACAACCCATTACCCAAAGAAGTATTACAACGGTCAGGCGCCATAAGCATGGGCAGTAAGAAAGCAACAAGTTTTTTTGCAATAGTCCGTGATGGTACACAAACAATTTCTAGCGCGATAAATTACCCCGATACAAGATAGCATATGACTGCTCTCGCCTCTCGGTGAATGATATCAGGAGCACAATCAACAAAAATATGTGATTCTCTACGAACTTTTGAAAATGGTCATGACTTTGACCCCTGGTCCCTGGAGCAGGCCCTGGAGTGTTTTATTTTTAAAATGCAGGATGCAACTCAATGCATCTTTATGAGGCTATAATATTGTAGGAAGTAGTAGCCCTTTATTAGTCTAAGTTACCAATCCATTGAGCATGCAATTGAAAAAAGTTTTGAACTTTTTTGGCACTTTTAGATTTCAGTAGATAAGCTTGAAGAGAAGAGACTGTTCCCTTACAAACAATAGGAAGGTATATGAATTATGATGCCATGAAGGCAAAGGAGATCAAAGTTTCCTCTGCATAACTCAGGCTGTTAGAAATGGCTTGCATCAGTCAAATTCAGGTGACCTGTTTTGGAACTTATGCTCCCATTTTCAAAAGTCAATGAAATTCTAGGCCCTGGTGACATCACCTTTTGCAAAACTTGGTGAGTAATTTAAAGATCATATTCACTGGTTTGTAAACACTACTTGTTGCCTGTTTTATGAAGCTGCCAAGCAAGAGAAGTAAAACAAATTACAGAAAATTTATAAATAATAGCATCTTTGATAAGATACCTACAACTTCAATCAATTGCTATTCTGATTCTACTTGTAACTTGTGAGTAGACTTTTTTTAGTTTGACAAAGGACTATCTGGATATCTCGAACTAAAATTACATAAAAGGGATTTCTCAGATGTATACCCATAGGCTGATACATGTGAACAGGGCTCTTGGAGCTCGGAGGCATGACTGAGTCGGAATGGCAGACAGGTACACAAAAATTGCATACGGGTTGTCATGCTTTTGTTGCTTTCATGACAGATGGAAAGCAATTTAAATAACATGACATGACATGACAAGTAGACGAAACTACTATAAAAAGCAACAAACAACCCATTACCCACCCGAGGTAAACCAAACCCATGTCCCATGCTACAACTTGAGCTGCAATCTAACGACTCAGACTGACTGCATTTTTATTAGACTATGGAAATTATTAGGCAGTTCCAAAATCAATCTCTATGAATATTACAAAGAAAATGAACGGCAATTCATGACACATAGCTCGGATAGCTTGTGTGAAATTTGAAATATTTTGGCGGCTAGAGCAAGGTCACCCCACCGACCGCGCACCGGCGCACTCACCTTTTTTTGCTGCTTTTCCCAAGCAGGATCCAGCAGTCCCTCCCTCTCCCATTCGTCTTCTTGTTCCATGTATCCATTCTCGTCCTCGTTGTACATCATCATCTTTGTTACCTAGCTATATGTACGCAGCACTCGCAATCAACAAGGGACCGGCACACACACCCCCACCCGCATCGGCGGCGCCAGGCAAGCGGACTCGGCTCGTCGTTGTTTGCCGCCGCGAAGGTCGCCGAGTTTCGCAGCTGACGTTCGGCTCCCGCCAGGTGCCGCCAGCTGTTTCGTTCAAATGACGTAGGTAGTGACGTAATTATTGTTGAAGTGGAGAAACAGGTGCATTTTGAGCTGTATTTCATAAAATAATGGATTAGAAGGATTAAACAAATATCATTCTTGTTACCAACCATACTGTAACCATCTTGGTTAAAGGAAATGGCGCAGGCAAAAGAAAAAACAGCCAGAAAAAAATGTAGCAAAGCAAGCCTCTCTCAAAATTTCCATGTTTTTGACAAATACAGCCCAACCCCTGAAAATAATGCAGCCATTTATGTGGGCAACATATCGGATTGTTACTTTAAAATTATCGTACGTCGGCCTAGAGCCACGTTCGAGGAAAACCAAAGATAGTGTCGATAACAAAATATTCAGCTTCCACCAAAGGTAGACTTCCATTTAACTGATAAAACGCTGCAACAGTGTTCATCATAATATATTTATGCTTTCGTTCATTTAAACGGACAATTTATAACATTTCAAATCCAAGCATCAAAGACCTAGTCTGAAAACTGCTCGGTCACGATTTCTTAGCTATATCCGAAACTGTTTATTTGACTGCGCTCTAATCGTCTCGGACACTCGCAGTGAACCTGAAGAAAAAAAAAATATCACCTTCCGAGCAACAAGGCAAAAACGCTAACAACATGACTGACGTCATATAAAACGCGACGTTGCAAACATCACCACGTCACGGAGTTCATCACACCCAGGGAAGGGCGTTCCAAAATGTAACGTCAACTAACTCGAGCAGCGCAGCTCAGTGGAGCTCGAGGTATCGTACAGACGCAATAACGAAGCTCACACACCTTACAAAAACTTGACACCGACAGCAGCTAACATGATAACAGCTTCTCCGTTGAGCAATCGAGCTGACACGTCTCAAAAGAAACGCTTTATCAATCATGAACAGGTATCACGCAGTGAGTCCTAACTCTGAGGCGAGTCGTCACCGGTGCGGCGGCGGCGGCGGCGGCTGCAGGCAGAGCCACCTATCGGTGACCGGCTGAGTCGGACTGGGCGTGGCCGTGCTGAAGCTGACCTGGGCCGGGTCACAGAACGGCACGTGCCACCGGCCGGCCGGGTCACACTGCGCCTGCACAGAGTGTACGATCGGCATCTAGGGAGAAGAAATAATGAGAGTTCGTCAGTGATCATCAGGCCGGCGTGAAGTATACCGACCGCAAATGGCTCGGTCTTTGAATCAGTCAGAGCAGCATACCATAAACAACACCTAAACCTCTCTTCTGCTCACCTTAATGTTGAGGTTTCCGTTGCGCGTGACGCCCTCCACAGCCAGCCGGTTGGTGCGGATCAGCCGGTTGAACTTGGAGCGCGTCTCGTCGGGCAGCCGGGCGGAGTGGTCTCGGAAGAAGTCGCGCGTCACAAACTGCGTGCCAGGGTGAGAGTGCATCACGGCGTACAGCAGAAACGCGTCGTCCGAGGACCTGTGACACGGCGAGGAGAAGTCGGGTCAGGACAGCGCCATCAGTGACAGAAATAATAAAATAAACATAGACATAATCACATTTCACGTGAATGTATCTTATGCCAATTAGCCGACAACACGTCAGAAACCGACATATGGGCAAAAACGAGTAACAAATTTGGCACATGGATACGTCAATGAGTTCACGTCATATGGATACGTTTTTAACAAAGCCTGTCATCATCAAGATGCATTGACAGTAGATTTTGCTCTTCTACGGTTGCCAATAAGCGCCATCGCAATAGAAAGTCCAGCACCAGTTCAAACGCTGCGGCTACGTATCGCAATTCGCACCAACACATAATCTATTGACCATACAACTCACATGTTGTCGGCGGTGAAGAGAAGGGCGTGCCTCTTGACGTAGCCCATGTCGGCCTTCTTCCAGCCACGCATGTGGTACCGGCCGACCACGAGTACCTTCTTTCCCTGCTGCACGGCGAAATGATCCACCACGTGCACCAGCTGAAAATGGAAAAATATACATACAGTCAGACTGTTGCTCCCGCGTTACGGAAGAAGCTGTGCCCACATTCACATCCTGACCTGTCCCTGCCTGAATACAAGACAGCAAAACAGCCAGAAAAGTACGCTGCTTTGACCAACATGGGGGTAGTTGTGGGGGCTAATGGATATCTTGTATCATGCTTAATATTAGCACTTGACTTAAAGCGACCGATTTTTTAGCGGAAACTGAGGGGAAACGTATTTCGAGCCACAGAATATGCGAGCCGAAATCATGCTCTATGCAATATGTCGATAGCAGAATGACTCAAGTAAGTGCAATGCACGACTGGCGCCACCTATGTTGGGCCGCACCGCTGTTCCCGGCCATCTCTGTGCCCGTTCCGTGCCACTCACCGCAGCTGAGAGGGGAGCGCCGCCCCGGACGCCGGCAGTCGCCAAGCCCACATTCAGGCCGTCCACCACCACGTCATAGGGCGCCGTGCGCTCCACGAAGCTCCTGAAGCGCTCCACCTCCTCAGGAGTGGACGTCTGGAACACGTCCTCACCGATCAGCACGCACCGCTCCAGTGCGTCGCGCACCTCGCGGAAATCGGCGTCACTGAGACGGTCGGGCGGGAGGTGGAGGCCGCAGTGCTCGCAGCGACCTCTGACGGCAGCGGGAGACGGCCGGTGAGAAACCGGGGAGGTGATGGTGTGCTTGTTGGAGGTAAATAAAATATATTTACATCATATATTTACAACACATGGACATCAGAGGGCTGTGATACTGCTGTGCAGAAAGCAGACAGGTTTTGATTATATCATTCCATATAAATTCAAGGTTTTAGAGCTTGACACACACAAAAAAAAGACGCAACATTCAGAATGCAATGAGAGGAAAAAAACCCATAGGTAATGCAACTTTGACGAAAGGGCAACTGGGCTCAGAATCTGAGGCATCAAGAGCGAGTGATTGCCGTTTTAACCCTGATGTTTACAAAGAGATCCTTTATTGGCCCAGCTCACCTGTTGGACACCTGGGTGGCCTCGCCGGTCCACGGCCGCGCCAGCCGCTGTGTGCACAGGTCCCGCAGTCTCACCGCCTGGCCCTCACTCAGTATCACCCCGCTGTCGGAGAGGAACTCCAGCAGCCGGAGCACCATCTGCTCGGCCGACTCAGCCGCCGGTCCCACCTCTGTGCGCCGTTCCTCCGGCCGGTCACCGCGGAGCTCCAGACGCGCCTCAGCGCGCGCCCTCGTCTCACAGCGCTCCAGCCAGGTGTCCAGCGCGTCATCAGTCGGCCGCAGCCGGAGGGCAGACAGCTCCTCGAGCACCTCCCAGCCGAGGACGTCCTCTCCGGCCCGCAGCGCCGCCGCTGCCAGCGCCGAGAGCGCGGTACGGGGCGGCGGGCCGCTGCGCCGCGCCACGGCCAGCAGAGGCACCGCCAGCCGCCAGTGCCGGGTGGCGCAGAGACCGACCGCGGCCCGTGTGGCGCTCACACGGTCCAGCGGCGCCGCGCTCAGCGCCGCGTGCGCCGCCAGCGTCTCCGGCTCGGCGGCGTCGCGCGCGGCGGCGTCACATGAGGCCAGCAGCTCGAGAAAGAGGGCGAGGTTGGCGGGCGGCACGGCGCCCTGCTCCTGTCGGTGTCGGAGCAGGGAGATGGCCGCCGGGAGCGCCACGCCGCCGTCCGGCAGCCGGCAGGCGGCCAGTGCCCGGTGGTCGACAGCGTGGGGACTGGCGGACGGCACGAGGCGCCGGTACTCGGCCACCGCGCGCTCCCAGTCGGCGCCACTCGGCGGCCGCGCCGCTGAGGCCGTGGCGAGCAGCAGCTGCTCGGCGCGCTCCTGCAGCTCACGGCGTGTGTTACGGCGCTCCTTCTGTCTGCTGCGTGCGCTGGGACCAGCTACACTACTCAGCAGGTGACTGAGCTGTGTGGGCCTGGCCGGTCCGACCAGGAACCTGGTCCAACCAGTCAGCAGTCTCATTGCATGAAGGCTCATAATTGTCAGAGTTTAGAGCTGGACCCGTCTCATGATGTAGGCACAGGTTCAGTGGCTGAAACAGGAAGCAGATTCTCAGAGTTAACATGAACTTTACTACAATTTACAAACATTATCATGTACCTAGGAATACATTGGTATTATTATACAAAATGTCTGAGTAGGTTGTAGGTTGGTAGGATGGTAGGTTGCAGGTGGTAGGTTAGTAGGTTAGTAGATAGGTAAGGTTACATTAGGTTAGATTACGTTTGTTTTATCTTCACTCGGACTTCTTCTATGCCTTTACCGAAAAATTATGATCAAAATGGAGATTTTCTCATAAAAAATTAGTCCTTTCAAAAGATTATGAATCTACAGCATATGAATATGCATACCAAACACATATATTATGGCTGCTTGAGGTTAGCTGCCATGAAGAGAAGAAAAGTCCGCATATGTTGATATTCCGCAAGGCCAATATTTTGTTTTAAAAATCCAGAAAAAAAGATGGCATCAACAAAATTTGATCAAACATCACAAGTCGACAGATTTCAATTCGCCTTCCTAATAGCGTGAAAAATATAATGCTGATTTATAGTAAGTAGGTACCTACCTAGGTAGTAGGTCAGTAGGTAAGTGGTAAGTTAAAGTACCGATTAGCCAAACAAGTATTTCATACCTAGTACACTGACACTGACACGGTCAGACTTTGCCAACCCGTCTGAATGCTATGCAGTCTGCATAGCATTCAGAGGAAAAATTAATAGAAAATTAAACGGCAACCTAACCCAGAAAATTCTATCCATCTAAAAACGCACATTTCTAATTCTACCTACCTTCTACCTACATGATATCTTATGATCTTATCGATCTTATCATCAATTTACAAATTACAACGCGGGTTTGGGGCCTTAGCAAAATTTCATGCACCATTTCTGTCACAAAAGCGGCACGATAGCAGAAAATGTGAGTACATAATCAAGGTTTTATTATATAAAATATACGTGACTATTTGCCAGTCAATTGTCTTA